CCTACTTACAATTACCTAGCTATACAATAACTACGCGACTAACTCTATTAGAGCTAGTAACTACCTTAGACATGCTAGTAACGCCTATCGCAAAGCTAGTCTTATCAAAGTTGTAGATATCTTAATCTAGAACACTATACGCCTAGCGCGTCTCCTCTACTAGCTTAAACTAGGCTGCTATTATAATAGGATTCTTATAGGAGGCACGCTAGCTATGTAATCTTCTAGTCTACTTTATCTAAAGCTTTAGCTAGCTCTAGATAAAGCGCGACACCTATTTCTTGCCTATAGATTGTGGAGGTGGATCTTGGCCACGCGCTGCGAGTAACGCGTCTGCCATCTGTCGCACGTTAATAATATAAGGCGGAAAGCCTTGTTAATCTAGCTCTAGAATCCACTAAACAAGAGACTACTTCTTAATAGGTGATAGCTTACGCCTAGTAGACAGAACCTCTAATCGTAGCTAGATACCGTGGAGGCGTGTCTAGAGCGTTAATTTTAGCACGTTATACGCTTTTGCAAGAGAGTAGATAGATTATTTTAGATTATTATAATAGAACGCTATAGTAAGACTTATTCTACCTTTACAAGAAGTCTGTATAGAGCGTTATTGTCGCGGCATGGTGGTAGTTGTGGAGAGTGTCGCGTCGAGTTTGGTGGGGCGGCCAGCTTATTGTTCCGGCCAGCTTACTAATCCCGCACGTTATAGCTTGTATTTGTTCAGATAGTATAGCTTTAAGTCTAACACTTATCTTTTAGGGATCTAATAGGTTAGTTTAATTAAGCTAGGTTGAAGCTATACAAGCTAACGAGCACTTAGTCTTTATAACCTTATCTCCCTCTAGCTAGACTAATAACAATATTAGGTTAGCTTAGCTTAAGGGGTTTTTTAAACAGGAGACTAGACGATACGCTTTAACTAGGTATTAATTATTAATCCTTAACGGCCACGGATCCTATGTAACTATAGAGTTTATTAAGTATTGCTATAATAACAAGATCCTCTTATATATATTTCCACCTTACGCTACCTATACACTTTAACTACTTAATGTGGTAATATTCAAACCCCTAGCAATAGCTTACTGTTACTCGTAACAAGAAGGATTCTCTCCTTGACGCAGGGTGACGAGGTTGGAGGCCAACCACGTCCACGTCAGAAGGTAATGGCTATCGCGGGGCTTGGAGTCACGTGATGTGCCATCCCGCCAAGACAAGACATCCCGCCAAGATGGGGATGGCAGCAGGGCTTGGGATGGCAGGCTATCCCAAACATCCCGCCAAGAGACAGGAAGATGGGATGGACGGGATAGCAGGACCAGAAGGCAATGGGTATAAGAATGTGTTGGATTTTATTATTACACTCGTTGTGGTCAACTTATTAATAGTTCATCTCTTACCTAGATTGATACTAGTTATTCTACCTTAGTAGAATTGATTGTTTATTCTTTCGGTTAAATCCTATAACTCTTTTCCACCAGCTACTCGCCAAACAATCTCACGGACTACCGCTTTAACTAGCCCCACCACAAAGTGCGCGCGACCACAAAGTGCGCGCGCGGCCTCACCAAAACTACCTTAAAAACGAGGCTATAGAGCCACACCAAATAGATATTATCACGATATATTTTGGTGGTGAGATCAATAGGCTTTAATATATATATACAGCTATAGAAATCGAGACGGAGTTCTAATCGCGCGGCCGCGACGCGAGGTTGGAGGTGGTGAGCTTGCAGCACCTCCCTGAGGCTCCTCACCACCTTGAGGCCTCGCGATAGGCTTCTTTTTTTGAGTAGCCTTTGCAGGAGCCATGAAGCTCCTTCTCTTACCCCTTTGAGAAGTTTTAATAGCTTTTTGAAGTTGTTTTGCAGCCTTGCGAGCCGCGATCCTTGAGGCCTTTTTCAATAGCCTTCTCCTCCCTCTCCTTCTGCCTCATTAGACTTACTGCAAGCCTCGCTGACGCCTCTGCTC